ATTTTTATTTCTCCGTGATGTTTTTCAAGTAGTTTATCATAAAGTTGAGCTAACCTCCAACATTTTTATTTCTCCGTGATGTTTTTTCAAGTAGTTTATCATAAAGTTGAGCTAACCTCCAACATTTTTTATTTCTCCGTGATATTTTTCAAGTAGTTTATCATAAAGTTGAGCTAACCTCCAACATTTTTATTTCTCCGTGATATTTTTCAAGTAGTTTATCATAAAGTTGAGCTAACCTCCAACATTTTTATTTCTCCATGATGTTTTTCAAGTAGTTTATCATAAAGTTGAGCTAACCTCCAACATTTTTATTTCTCCATGATGTTTTTCAAGTAGTTTATCATAAAGTTGAGCTAACCTCCAACATTTTTATTTCTCCATGATGTTTTTCAAGTAGTTTATCATAAAGTTGATAAACATTTTTATTTCTCCATTATGTTTTTCAAGTAGTTTATCATAAAGTTGAGCTAACCTCCAACATTTTTATTTCTCCATTATGTTTTTCAAGTAGTTTGTCATAAAGTTGAGCTAACCTCTAACATTTTTTATGGTAAATCGTGAAAGTTCAAAGCCAAATTTTATCGTTTCATAACCAACTAAAATATTATTTTTTTTAAAGGAGATATTCAGGAATATTTTCAAAATTGTTCGTATAAGTATCCTGCGTCTACTTAAAGCCTTGTTAACTGTTATTCTTCATCTCCTGTTAAGGTTATATACCATAACTTATGCTCACTTGGCTAATTTTGTTTCATCTTTCCTCTGGGACGTGGGTCATATCCAAGTGGCGGTGTGGTATTTGTGTTTTCTATTTAAGAAAAAACTACTTAAGTTATCTGCTGCTGTTTCTAATTCTGAACTACTGACCAGAGGGAAGGTAGCCTACCACCCACCATTCATGCTAAGGGATTAACTGCTACTCTCCACACATACACTTGCACACAGTTTAAATTGAGGAGAATATTTAGTGATTTTGCACGGACTGAAAATCGGTTAGTCATATGCGAAATCTAAAGCTCTTTCACAAAGCCAACCAGTGCCGGGGGGGGGGGGCAGTACAGACGTTTGAGGTGAGTGTTAACCGTTCTTTGAGTTTGTATAATGAGAATTCGCACTGGCATCGGTAATCTTAATTTTTACGGCACAGATGAGAACCAAAATGAGAAATGAATTCAATAACAAAATACCTGAAACTGATGCCGAATGGGAGTAATATTTAATACCGCTCCTAACAAGGGTACTAGGCCCGACATGGCCAGGTGGATAAGGCGCTCGACTCGCAATCTGAGGGTC